AAAATGTTTTGGTTCACCTAATTTATTTGCAACATGAACCGGTTTCACGTTCATGAAACCTATTTCATTTTCCTTTTCATATATTTCTTTTAAAATGCACCGGTTTCATTTTACTTCTCATAAAAAAAAGATTAACTACACCATCAATGCAACGGGTTCACTATAAAAATGTTTCGGTTCACCTAATTTCTTTGCAACATGAACCGGTTTCACGTCCATGAAACCAGTTTTATTTTGTGGATTTTTTTTGTTTATCTACGTTTTTATGATTTCATTCTATAATTCAATTGTTTCATCAAGACATATTTCCTGATTATAACACATGACAGTATATGAAATCCAAATTTTTAATATTTTAATATAATTAAATATATTTAAATGTTACCATTTATATAATTTCCTTTATTACGTTTCTTTAATTAAGATTTATTAATAACTTTCATATTTAATAGAAAATATTGTAAATGACCAAAATACCCTTTTTGATTAAATTTAATTAAAAAAAGAAATTTTCCTATTGGTCGAAATTGGTTTACATGGTTTTTAGAAATGCATGGTTTTCATTTGAACGTGTCCTTATATATATATATATGTGTGTGTGTGTGTGTGTGTGTGTGTGTGTGTGTGCGCGCGCGCACGCATATAATATATATATATATATATATATATTTAAAAGAAAATATATTGTATATTATAATTAAACTTAAAGTATAATAATTAATATGGATTAAAGTGTGATAAATAATTAATTTTAATAAACTGAAAGTTAAAAAAAATATTTTATAATTATGGATTTGGTCCCTCGAGTAAAAAAAAAAAAAAAAGGAAAAGAACGAAAGCACCCTCAAGGTCAACGGAAGAGTTGGACGAACGTTATAGGGAGGGATCAATTTGTTACAAAATGACATACCAGGAATCCTAATCTATAATAAATGAAGTTCAAGAACCATTTTCTTAAAAACCAGCAAATCATAGGGACCAAATCCATAATTTACTCTAATTTTTATGTACCTTCTAATTTTTATTTTATTCATTTTCTATATTATTAATATTACTTAATAAATTATATAAAAATCATATTTGAAGGAAAACAAAATGAAAGTTTAAAGAGCAGAAATACGATAAATAATATTTTGGAAGAAACATTAAGTTCTATTTTAAGTTATACTCGTAAAATATTTGTTATACTTTGTTCCATGGATGCATGTTTATTCTATTTTATTCCACTATGTTTCTGTTTGTTCCAAATTAAAGTTATGTCAAACGTATAATAATGATCTTTATTCTATTCTTTCTTATCCAATTTAGTTTATCAAATGCACACTTAAGGGCATAAGTTCATCTTGTAGCTTGTATGTGTAGGGAGCGATGCAAACTCTCCAAGCAAAAAGATAATTTCTTGCTAGTCACTATTAAATGAAAGACTTTTGTCTATAAATTTTCCCTTAAAAACCTGTCGCTAAAGGGTGATTAATCACAAAATTGTCACAAAATTTGTTGGTAGGTAATTCAAATCAGTGACAGATTACTCAAGGATTCTTTGGGTGATCCATTAGTATTTTCTCAAAAAACATCGGATTCTACCAGCCCATTGGTATTCTCTGGGTAAAAGTCTTACCCCGTAAGTGAGTGCGACGACTATTACTATGGTTAGCGCTTATTGGGTAAATTGTTGCATACGATACCGTTTTGATGGACTAAACTCTTACCCAGTAAGTAAGCAATAGTATTGAATTTTACCGGCAAGCACTTACCTAGTCACCTAGATAAACATATGGTAAACGGTCCTGTATCTCCCTAGCACATTGATCTTGCTTTCCAACAAGCAGAATGACGATCCAACAAGCAAGAGATTATCTTTATGTTTACGACGTTGATAATTGGTGCTGGATTTTGTTTAGGCTCGCATTTTTCCTTCCTTCTTTACTTGTGTTCATAGTATACGATTAAAACAAACAAAGTTACAAACAATTCAAAACAATAATATAATGAAAACATTGTAAGTTTCATCTATTTACGTAAAATTATTTGGTCGAGTTGATGCCAATAAAAGCTTTTCATGTTATCAAAGGATCTTTGCCTAGTAGTATATGAGTCTTTGGTCTTCTAAGAGGTCAAAGGTTCAAACATCACCAAAGATGAGGAGAGTATGTGAGTTTATTTGTTCTATTTATCCTATATAAATGTTATATACTGCAAAAAAAAAAAAAAAACTTTCCTAAAACTATAACAAATTGGATTATGTGACGCCAAAAATTTATAAGCGGTCCTAATAAACCATTTTATATGCCAAAAATTTATAAGTGGTCCTAATAGACCGTTTTTGGTAATAAGTTTATAGGACAATTTTGAGCTTTGTAACAAGTTTTTTAGGACATTTTTTTAAAGAAATGTTGTATTTATTACTTTACATAACACTATTTGAAAAAGTGTCTTGAAAAAACAAATAAAAAAAATGGGTTCATTGAACACTTATCAAAAGCATCATAAAAATTAGCTAATGCGACGTTTTATATTAAAAATGTTCTAAAAAACTCTTTAAGACGCCCAAAAAATGCTTAATTATAAACTTCTTACAACGTATTTAGATAAGACGTTTTATTTTTTGATCTTCTATATTAATTCGTATAACACAACTATTAGAACACTTAGAGATTTATGGCATCTTATAAGCCCAATTTATTTGTAGTGTTTTGGCAAACTTATTGATGAGGAGCAAAAGAACACTTGCGGGTCTAACATGTTACAAAAGAATGCTTCGAGTTTAGGGTTCTTCGAGCACGGATTGCAGAGGAAGTCTTTCTAGGGTTAGAAACTTAGAATGCAAGAGTCCTCGACGTAACTAGTTTGATCCTTGTGAAAAAGGAAGAAAAAGAAAAACGTGTTTTTGAAAATAAAGAACATTATGGTTCTATCAAAGAAACCGGACCGGGCATGATGTTTTTTTAAGGGGGTGTTTGGAGTTGCTTATAAAAGCTGTTTTTTAATTTATTTCAGTCTGGCACCGGTGATAAACTGTTTTCTGATGTTTGGATAAGGGAAAAAAACTGCTTATACCGGTGTCAACGGTAATAAGCTGTTTTTGATAAGTTAATCCTTCCTGACTTATGAAAAACTGCTTATTACCAGTTTACAATTTTAATCATATTTTATTTAACTTCGGTTTGATACCACATAAGTTAATAAGCACTTTTACAACAAAACATAAGTTGTTTTAAATAAGCAATCCCAAACACCCCATAATTACAAATCGCAACCGACGATTAGCAACAACAAATCGAGTATGATGTGATTAAAAACATCGTGCTCGGCGAACCGAGTTGTTTGCTAGCTCATAATGAAGTTGTCTCGCATAATACTACTGAAAAAAGGTATCTCTAAGAGCGAGTTCGAGCTTAGAAAATTGTTAACTTTAATGTCGAGTCTATATTTTAACTACTCAGAGAGTTTTCGAGTCAAAATCGGACATGGAAATTGGAAAACGGCTATCGAGTTCGAATCAAATATACCGATATTCGAGTTCGACTCACATCAGTTACATCTTACCAGGTGAAAAAGGAGACGTATTAAAAAAATCTTTTTTATTTTCAATTAGATTTAATTTTTAATTTGTTCATAATTATAAATTCATCATTTGTCAATTATATGCATTGAGTAATAAATCATCATATAGTTTTTAAATAGAAAAAATAATATCCGTTGGCTTTTTCACAAACAGAAATGAAGTAATGGGTTCCCAAATCGTCTCCGTCTCCCACAACAGACAAATTTTCTAGTTGTGGCTATTTGTTGTTGATTCCTTACCTAACACATATGAACTGAACATCCATCCTCTAAAATCAACTTCTCTTGAATCCATTTCTGGTAGGTTTTTACAGTGAATCAATTTAGGTCTTTACAGTGACGAATGACCGGAAAGATTAGCCTGAAGCACATAGGATTTAGTTGAAAACCGATCAGTCTAGTTTCTTACAGTGATCGAATTCGAATGGCCGGAAAGAACAGCCGGAATCGCATGCATATAGATGGTTGAAAACCTATCAATTTTAGGTTTCTACAGTGGTTGAATGGCCGGAAAGATCAGCCTGAATCGGACAGATGGTTGAAAACCGATCAAACCCATGACAAGAACAGATGCTTTTTCCAAAGGATTCTGGTTTAACGATATGGACACAAACAATCATGAAATATTAGTTAGTAAACTTGAAACCCTAATGCAATGTTGCAAACTGGAAAAGGAAAAGAAGAAGAAGACGATAAACAAACAGACATGCATGGATTTATGAAAGCTAATTAAACTCGATCTCGACGAACAATGCAACCTAAGCTCGATGGTTTCATCAACAAAGAACCCTCTTGGATATCAAAAGATTGTATGCATGACGACAAGAAACACTTGCTGATTCGAACCCTACGCCCAAATCTCATCTTGATCTCTTCTTTAGCCTTACAGTCATGATCGCAATCTTTTGTACACTCTATTATAGCAGCACGAAAAGGGTCCTCCTCCCGCATAAGAACCATCCTTTTTGAATCGCTTCTCCCCGGCAGCTGCCGGAAAGACCCTGGTGGCAACGGGAGCACCATATTGTTCTGCACTTCACGGTTGTTTCCGGCCAGGCCTGGAACCAAAGCGCACATAGGTGAAGCCATAAACTTTGGGACCCCAGGCATCTTCTCCCATGAAAAGGGTACATGAATCGTTGAGTTCGCTTTTTTGTGGCTCATTTTATTCATCTGTTGGGACGAGAAGTGCAGAAATGATCATAATGTGCTTCTGGGATTGGAATTTGGTGATGTATATATAGACATATATGTATATGTATATGTATGTATATATAATGATTTCAAAGGGTTTAACACACTGTAACTGAAGAGAACTGAAGGTGATAAGCAAGTGAAACGTGGGTTAGAAGTTAGTTTAATTGCTTTTAAAACAATTCATAGAATTGAAGCAGAAGGGAAAAATGGGAATATTTTAATGGAGTCTGTTGGTATTTCAAACGTATTTTTTTGTCTAAATCAATTATTGTCCATTTGTTTTGTTTGGTGTGAAGTGATAGTACAAGTTGTAACTATGCTATAAAAACTTGTAAGCTATGCATTCATAGTTGTACTACATGTAACATTAATAATTTATACATTGAAAAAAAAGGTTGTTTTCATTACAAAAGTTTAGAAACATATAATGTATAAAAAAAAAAAAAAACTAATATAAGACTTTTTAAGCTAACCAGTCATGTCTGATTGGTTTGAGCTTGGCTCCAAAGGTCAAAAGTACCAAGAGGTCTCAGGTTCAAATCCAAGAAGGAATAAAAATCCCCTTGTGGCTACGGAGGCATAAATGCGGTGACTTCGGGCTATCTGCAAAGCAGTTGGGTCACCTTGGGATTAGTTGGCTCGCAAAGCGGGTTGCATATCCAGGTTAATAAAAAAAAGCTAATAAGATAATTTAATTTTTGTATTTATATGATTGTCTAACTTTGTCAATGGATATAATATGTTAGAACATCTATTGTGTAATAGTTGATAGCTCGACACATATGTGCAATAAAACGTGGTTTTAAAAAACCGGTTTAGCTTAATTACGTGGAAGAAGAAAGGGTTAACAAATACTGTAAATCGATACACCCAAATACTATACGACACTGACTCCTCCGTCCTTTGGTGTCCTTCGATCTCCGGCTGTTGTAGAAGTACGTTTCTTCTCTCCATGTTTTTTTCTTGTTTCCGGATCTCCCCTTCCATTCCGATTTCATTCCTATTTTCTTTCTTTAAACTAGTGTTTGACATCTTACATTGCACGATGATATAAATTTATGTAAAAACAATGTGACATTTTGTTTTGATGAATATTTTAAATAAATGGACAAAGTTAGGGAACTAAAATAACATTATAATTCAAAAAATTTAACTACTCAAATCTTATTATACAATTCAAACATCTACCATCTTCTTTTTTATTCATAAATATTAAATTTTATTTTATTTTTATATCGATTTTTTTGCAAGATATGAATCGAATGCATACTTTAGCCAAATAACCATTTTAATTTTCAAATACGTATCTTCTTCTTTCATATATTCGTAATCATTCTTCAATCTCTTAGGTGATCCATAATGGGAGGTAACATAAACAATACCACAATTCAAATATCATAATATATATTTAAATATCATAATATATTTTATATATCTACTAATTTTCTTCTATATATATAATGGCCTTCAATCTATCATTTCCCCTATCAATATGAAAAACGAAAACAACACTATAATTGAATATTTTTAATACTTAAATCACATAATTCTACTTCATGCCCTATAATCTTTATTTAATATGTGGATCTCTCTAATAAGTACGTTATAAACTATCGTTTTCACTATTGATATTTGTCAACATTATGTCATTTTTGTATTTAATTAAATAATTTGTGTGTATATATTTATTTATTTTTTGCAAAAGGAAGGTCGGTCAAAAATTAACAAAATTTCATATGTCGATTTAACAAAAAGAAATTATAAAAGGCATGGGCGGACCTAGTTAAGTGCCATGAGTGGCACGTGCCACCGTATCATTTCTCCGCCGAAAGGTAAAAAATTTAGGTTTCGTGAACGGTGCAACCGCATTAATTTGTTGTATGCCACCGTATGTATTTTGAAACTACAATGAGAACAAATTTTATTTGGTAGAATTGGTTTGCAATATTTTTATTCCACCCCACACCCAAGTCCGAATCATGTTAGTGTCATTTTCTTAGTCAAACGGTGCCACCGTTTGAAAAAAATTATGTATATTTGTTTCTTATAGTCACACGGTGTCACCGTTTGAAAAATATATATAATTTTCCTATATTTTTTTATGGTCAAATGGTGCCACCATTTAGAAAAAAAATTTGGGTCCATCCCTGGTAAAAGGAGATGGTAAAAGGATAACCAAAATTACACCATACTTCAACATTTTAAAATACTTAAATTTAATAAATATTTTTTATATTTTTTATTTTGTATGATTAACATTTTTTTTGCTAAAAGATGGTTGGTCAAAATTAGTCAACCCATGAGCTCGGAGGGTCGGCCAAAATGAACCAACAATTTGAGTTTAAGAAGATTGGTCAAGAGGAGTCAACTTCATGAGTTGCCACAAAAACATCTCCATCTCCCTTTATGTACCTACCATTGATTGTAAATCTTTCATATCTCTATCAATTATGTGGGATATACAGAACTCAACCACAATTCAAGAGATAAAGAATACTCACTCATTAAGATGTCACATCATTCCTTGTAAGTTTTACTCTTAAGATATATAAATGTATAAAGATATAAAGATAAAAATTACTAATTGGTCTTGTCACTCCTTAAGACGTCATGTATACAAAAGTATGAAAGATGTCTTCCAAATGTATGTGATTTTCATATCTTATCAAAAAAAAAAAAATCAAACAGTGTGAATACATCAACTTTTTATCTGTCGGATAGGTTAATAAGAGGTTTTTTCATAATACACACCATCTAATTAAAGTATAATTATTATTCTTTAAAGGCAATTATTAATAAAATTATATAAACGGCTAGTTTTATATGAAACGGATTTATTATTGTTAATTTATCAAAAAGTTGTTATTATAATTTTATTTTATATGATATTTAGTATTGTTGATTTTAATTTTATTTGAAATACTTTAAAATTAGCTTGCATACTGATAAAACTTGATGTCCTAAAAAATTATTTTATAAAAAGTAGCAGTTATATCTGTTATACTCTCTTCAAATCCTACACTGTAAACATCTGGTTTCAATTCGTTCTAAATAATGAAGGGATAAGAAACTTGAATGCGGTTGAGATGTCAAAAACCAAAAGATAATTACACTTAACTAAATATGTTGCTTTAGAGTTTCATCCATGCAATTAATGCATCCATCGACTGGTATATACAACCTCCTTCAAATCTGCTCAACCTCTAATTTGGTCGATTTCGATAGTTATAAAATTAATTATAAACGAGAAAGAGACGCTTGAATAAGGGGCAATTCATTTTCGAAGTTGATGAATGTACTGGACGTAATATAATTGGAGAAGATAGCCACCGATTTATCACTAAAGACGGGTGTCTCGTGCATGACCATGCAAAATTTGATGGAACCACTTGGAGAAATCAATCAGATCCGTTGAAGGCGGATATCATCAATAAATGCATGATAAGGTGTTATTATTATTATTATTAAAGTGTTATTCTTATTATTTATTAAACCACATGGGTTGTGCTTGATTGGTTTGAGTTTGGCTTCAAAGGTCAAAAGTACCACAGGAGATCACAAGTTCAAATCCAAAGAGGAATAAAAATCCCCTTATGGTCATGGAGGTTCAAATGCGGTGACTCCGGGCTATCTGGTTTTTAATAAATATTTTAAATAAATAGACAAAGTTAAATAATCAAAATAACATTATAATTAAAAAAACTTTTAACTACTCAAATCCTGTTATACAATTCAAACATCTACCATCTTCCTTTTTATTCATAAATATTCGATTAAATTTTATTTTTATATCGATTTTTCCGTAAATTCTCCTTTCATATATTCGTAATCATTCTACAATCTCTTATGTGATCCATAACGTGAGGTAACATAAACAATATCACAATTCAAATATTATAATATATTTCATACATTCTACTATTTTGTTTTTATTACATGTAATCTTTGATTGTTATCAGACCCTCGATCTTAATGTCATCAGGCAAATTAACCGAACAACTTGTAGATATTTTTTATCTACTTATGTACGTATGTATAAGGGGTCTTATATTAATAACCCATGAAATTGTGATAACTTTGAGAACTAGTGCATTATGTGCTATTTTATATGAATTTTTTCATCTAAGACTAAAATTTAGAATATCAATTAATATTTTTTTTCCACTACAACAAAATTGAGATTATATAACACCCCCAATCTCTAAGTGTCCCAATAGATCTCTTTATAAAACTTAATTTATATGACCAAAATATAAAGTGTCCTATCTAAAGGTGTTGTAATAAGTTTATATGACGCTTTTGGGCGTCTTAACAAGTTTTTTAGGACATTTTTAATACGAAGTGTCGCATTAGCAACTTTATATGACACTTTTGAGAAAATGTCCTATAAAATCATTTTTTTATAGGAAACTTGTTTTTATAAGACAATTTTTCAAATAGTGTCCTATAAAGTTGATAATGGGACATTTTATATTAAAAGTGTACTAAAAAAACTTATTACGATGTCAAAAAACGTCATATAAACTTATTAGAACACCTTTAGATATGACACTTTATTTTTTTGGTCCTATAAACTAAGTCTTATAAAGAGATCTATTAGGACATTTGGAATTTGAGAGTGACCTATAAACCCGATTTTGTTGTAGTGTTTACAATGTGAACCTTTTTAGCCTGTTTGTGAAACAAAAAGTTACACGTAAAAAAGTTTCAAATTGTGAATCAAATACATATGAAACAATCACGTTGTGAAACAAATATATGTTTATTAATACGTTAAATATTAGTCTTAAACGAGGAAAAGAACATCTAAGACAATACCATAAGATAAAAAGTCTCATACTTATCACATCAAATGATTAGGTTATGTATCTATATGTGTATGTCTTGAAGCGTTTAAATTCTTTTAGTTGGTAACCACAAGGGTGGTGTCTGGTTGTTTTGACCTTAACTCTAAAGGTCAAAAGCAC